AAAGTAAATAAATATATTTGTTTATTATGCATGCACACATTCAAATGTGTGGTTTTTCAAGACAGGTTTTTTTTTTCTGTGTAGCCCTGCCTGTCCTAAGGCTCACTCTGTAGACCAGGCTGTCCTCAGAGATCCGAATGCTTCTGCCTCCTGAGTGCAGGGATAAAAGGCGGTGCCACCACTGACTGGTATTTTTTTTTTTTTAAAAAAAAAGACAGGGCCTCACCTTATTGCCCTGGCTGACCTAGAGCTCACAGAGATCCTCCTGCTTCTGCCTCCTGAATGCTGGGAGCGAAGGTGTGCACCACATGCCCAGGTTCAGATGTAAATACAAAAGAGGCATGCCTAACGGAGTGGCCAGATCCAAGTGTGGTCCTGACCATCATTGTCTTCAGCTTCCGCGGCATCGTCACCCGATGAGCTGCCAGGACTGACTGTGTGAATTCTGTTCCTAGGAGATCAGAACTACTCTTCCGTACAGTCTCCTAGACTAGGTTGGAATTCCCAGAGCTCAGACTCCTTCCTGGCATGCCCGGCATTCTCCCCTCCTCCACAGTAACTTTAAGGTGCTGTGGCTGTGGGATGATCCTTCTGTATGTTGGGAATGCGTATTACTCCCATTGGTTAATAATAAAAGGCTATTCGGCCTATGGCAAGGCAGATAAGGTTAGGTGGAACAATCAGACCGAGGACTTGGATGAAGAGGGGTGGAATGGGGAACAGGCAAGTCAGTTACCCAAGAAGCAAAATTCCAGAGTACCAGTAAAGCCATGGCCATGTGGCAATACATAGATGAATAGAAATGGGTTAATTTAAATGTAACAGTTAGCTAGTAATAAGCCTGAGCTATAGGCAGAGCATTCTGTAATTAATATAAGCTTCTGTGTATTTATTTGAGATGGGGTGGTCTGGACAAGAGAAAAGCTCCATCTCCATTTACAATAAGATTTGATGAGTCATCTACTTAAGAAATTACTTTAGACTTATTTCTAGTGTTTTGCTTACATGCATGTACATGCTTGGTGCCTAAAGAGGTCAAAAGAGGGCAGCGGAGCTCCTGGAACTGGAGCTACAGATGGTTGTGAGCCACCATGTGGGTGCTGGGAACTGAACCCAGGTCCTCTGAAAGAGCAGCAAGTGCTCATGAACACTGAGACATCTCTGCAGGTCCCTGGTTCGTCTTTTAGTGTTCAGCACTTCCTGCAACTACATGAAAACTCCTAAGTTATTTAGTTTTATTCCCAGCACTTTGCAATGCCAGGATGGTTAGTCTTTTTAAAGACATTTTGTACCTTTTCATTTTTCTCTCAGTATAGGGCATTTTAAAGGTTTATTTTAATACTTTACATGTAAGCAGCTTTTTTTTTGCCTCCATGTATGTATGCATACACACACATGCCTAGTGCTCATGAAGGCCAGGAGAGTGCCTCAGATCCCCTGGGACTGGTTTCAGACACTAGTTGTGAGCTGTCACGTGGGTGCTGGGAGTCCAATGTGCTGCAAGAGCAATTCCATGCCCTAAACGGTTGAGCCAATTCTTCACCTCTGAGGATATTACCTTGAATTATTATTTTTTCTTGGCTGCCCTAAAACTTGCTGTGTAGACTAGTTTGACCTTGAACTCACAGAGATTCTCCTGCCTCTGCCTTCTGAGTGCTGGGAATAAAGATGTGTGCCAACTCACCTGCTCACCATCTTAAAAAAATACAAAATCAAACAAAAAAAATTTTTTTTTCCGAGATAGGGTTTCCCTGTTAGCTTTGAAGCCTATCCTGGAACTTGCTCTGTAGACCAGGCTGGCCTCAAACTCACAGCGACTGTTTTTGTCTCTGAGTGCTGGGATTAAAGGTGTTTGCCATCATGACTCCTGCAATCATTTTTTGTTTTTGTTTTTTAATTTTTTCCAGATTGTTTTATTATTTAACCCAGGTCTGCACTGAACTTCGGAACCTCTGCCTCAGCCTCCTCGGTGCTAAGATTATATGCCTTCTTTATCTTCACGCCTACATGTTTTTGTTTTGTTTGCTTTTGTTTTTGTTTGTCCTCTCTTAAAAAGATTTATTTTAATTTTTAGATTTATTTATTAAGTATACAGTATTCTGACAGAAGAGGCCATCCAGTCTCATGACAGATGGTTGTGAGCCACCATGTGGTTGCTGGGAATTGAACTCAGGACCTTTGGAAGAACAGCCAGTGCTCTTAACTGCTAAGCCATCTCTCCAGTCTTTACTTTTTTAGTGGTGTGTGTGTGTGTGTGTAGATATATGTTTGAGTAGAAGTGCCTGAAGACATCCAAAAGCAAGTGTCCAATTCCCTGGATATGGAGTATGTGAACATCCTGACTTGGGTGCCGGGAACCAAATTTAGGCCCTCTGCAATGGGAAACAGTTAAGCCATCTCATCAGCTCCTTTTATTTTTTATTTTTTATTTTTATTTATTTATTTATTTTTTTAGACAGGGTCTCATGTAGCTTAGGCAGGTCCCAAACTGTCTATATAGCTGAAGCTGCCCTTGAATTCCTGATGCTGCTTCGCTTCCACTTCCAAGTGCTAGGATCATAAGATCATAAGCATGTTTGACTCTTGCGCCAAATCCTGACAGGGTTCCAGGTGTCCCTCGCGTCCTTGAACTTTTGATTCAGTGTCTCTGTCTCCCCAGTGCTGGGATTAAAGGCAGGCACCAGTACCCGGGCCTGGAATCTGCCTTTTTACTGTGATGTGTTCCTTATAAAACCAGTCACATGACGCTTGCTAGCCTTCAAGACATCTATGTGGACTGTTGCTGACCCACTCACAGCTGAACTTGACTGGCAGGGAAGCCTTAGATGGCCCGAGGGTTGCAACAGGGACTTACCGGAGCACACCATGTCCAGGCGGGTTCACATGGACAATAGACTTGTGCCAGCCGCCCCGGGCCAGCGCAGCCCGGAGTGCTAATCAACACGAAGGTCCAAGAAAGCAGAGACCTCATGGTCCCAACACGTACCGCGTGCCTCTTACATCACTACAGAGCAGCTCCTGCAGAGAAGCGCCAAAGGCAATTGGTTGCCAGGCAACAAGGCAGCAGCACCCAGTTCCCAATCAACTGCCAGCTTTCGGCTGAGAGCGGGAAAAGGAGATGCACGTGGTTTGAGTTTTCTAAGTACAGTTTATTTTCTTTACTCTTATTTTCTTCTCGTTTCCTTCCTCTTCTTTTTTCCCCCATAAAGTCCCCTTCCCTTATTCCATCTCCTTTCTCCTTCCCGTCCTTTCCCGATCCCCCTTCAGGCAGGCTGATTGGCCAAAGAAACAAAGAAAAGGTAGGAAGAAGCCAGTTAGCGTGTGCCCCTCCATCTGCCCCAGCGAGTGTGTCTCTTGCTGCAGCTGAGGCCTTGGGCATTAGACCCTAACTTATCCAGACTGACGGTGGCTGGATCATCTGTTTCTCTTAGGATTTTTTTTGTAAAGATTTATTTATTATGTATACAGTGTTCTATCTGCATGTATGTCTGCAGGACAGAAGAGGGCACCAGATCTCATTACAAATGTTTGGGAGTCACCATGTGGTTGCTGGGAATTGAACTCTGGACCTCTGGAAGAGCAGCCAGTGCTCTTAACCACAGAGCCATCTCTCCAACCCTCCTCTTATGGTTTTTAATAAGTACAAAGCAGTGTTTCTTTTCTTCTTCTTCTTTTTTTTTTTTGTAAAAGTGGTTTTTGAAGTGTAGCTTCATGTAGCCCAGGCTGGCCTTGAACTTCTGATCTTCCTGCCTCTATCCATAAGGGTAGGGCTGAGGTTACAGCCATATGCCACCTGCCTTTTTATGAAAGGCCAAGAAGTCCATGGCTTTGAGCATGCTAGGCGAGCATTCTTCAACCATATTGCAGCCCTTTTCTAGGGTATTGAGGCAGAGGTCTATGTAGTCCAAACTGGTCTCAAACGTGTCGTCCTCTTGCCTGCTTCCCAAGGTTAGAATGACAGGTGCACACCATCTAGAGCTGCTTCCTCACCGCCTCCACCTTCTGCAATGCTGCAGAGAGAACCCACAGCTCTGTGCTTGGCAGGCAGGCACTCAGCCATTGAACTACACCTCCTTACAAACTGTGGTTTGACTATAAATGGCCCCAATTGGCCCATAGGGAGTGTCAATTTTAGGAGGTGTGACCTTGTTGGAGGAAGTGTGCCACTAGGGGTGGCCTTTGAGGTCTCAGAAGTTCAAGTTTTCTGCTGCCCACAGATCCAAATGTAGAACTCTCAGCCACCCCTCCAGCACCCTTCTGCATGCATACCGCTATACCTCCTGCCACAATCTTGAACTAAACCTCTAACTGTAAGCCAGCCCTAGTAAAATGTCTTTCTTTTTAAGAGTTGCTGTGGTCATGGTGTCTCTTCACAGCAATAGAAACTCCCTAAGACACAAACCAATGTTTCTTTAACTAATTGTAATTTTTAAATTTGTGTGTATATACTTTTCTGTGCATACAGGTAGCTGCAGTGTAGGATCTCCTGGAGCTGGATTTACAGGGAGTTGTGAGCTACCTGGTGTAAGTGCTGGGAACCAAACCCAGGTCCTCCTGAAGAGCAGCAAGTATTCCTTAGCACTAAGCCAGGTCTCCAACCACTTTTTGTATTTAATTTTTTTTTTTTTATTTTAAAAAGAGAGCAAGTCAGGTATGGTGGTTCACGCCCTTAATCCTGACATTCAGAAGGCAGGAGGAGGATCTCCAAATTCAAGGCCAGCTGGTCTACAGAACCAGTTCCAGGACAGCTAAGGCTACACAGAGAAATCCTGCCCTGAAAAACAAAACAAAAAAATTGTGTATCTTAGGGGTATGTGTGTGTGTGCCTGAGTATATGCATGTGTACTGCATATATGTAGGAGCCTGAGGAGGTCATTGGTTGGTGAACTGGAGTCAAGGTGGCAGTGCACTGTCGTGTGAAGCCCATGTATCTCAGAAGACAGAAACAAGACAATGGAACCCAATCCTCAGGGCCACTCGACCCTTGCTCATCACTGTTCTCCATGGCCAGACTGACATCTTTATTGGAAAAATTGAAAACACAGATGCAATGTATTATACAAAGAAAGGGTTTCATTCCATAACAAAAGCACTGTTGGGAGGAAACAAGAGCTGGTGGCCACCTGCCCTGGGAAGGTAGGCACGCAGTGAAAAGCGAAATTCACTGATAGGACTGTTCTAATGGAAAACTGTGGAAAAGGTTAAAAACAGAAGAGGGGCATAAACGAACAAAAGACAACCCCATCCCTGCAAGTTTGAGAGTCTGTTATAAGCTTGAGACATTTAGGTTATCACCAAGATTTAGTGGGATTCCTCGGTTTGTCCCTAGAATGCTAATCAGTTTAACTTAGGGTCTTCAAACCTGAGGTAGTTGAGGGTCACCTGAAGAATATGTCTGGAAGGATCTATAGGCTCGGAACTGGATCCAGTCCCATCTAACCAGCCGTTTCTGGCTTTGGCTACTGGGAGAGGAGGCACTCCACCACTGTGCTGACCAATCCCGTGTGGGCTGGACCTGCGGGACAAGGGTGGCCAACAGCTGTTCTGGATCGCTGTTGATGGTTTCCATCAGACAGTGTGGTCTCTGAGAACCCGAGAAGTAGAGATAGGGCAAAGCCACACTGTGTGGAAGGCCAATGTTGAGGATCCAAGATGGCGGGAGAGAGGGCAAAGCTGCTCTGGTCTGAAGGTCAATGTGGAGACTCCAAGAACAAGAGCAGGTAAAGCTCGCTCTGGTGGGAGGATGATCCAAGATCATGCCGAGATGGCAAGGCCACTCTTATTGGCAGGTCAGTGTTGGGTCCATAGGTTCTCAGAGATCTGGAAAGGCAATAGTGTGGCGTGACATTTGCCAGCTATCAAAAGTTAGGGTTATGCCGGGCGGTGGCGGCAAGGATCTCTGTAAGCTCGAGGCTAGTCTACACAATGAGTTTCAGGACAGCCAGGGCTACACAGAGAAACCCTATCTCGACCCCTACCCCTCAAATGAGAGTTAAATAGTGCGGGAGACCCTCCTACAGCCAAGTCACTGACAAAGAAGTAAAAGCTTCCCTAGACACAAATAAGAACCAACTCTTAAGGTGAGAGGTCACAGCAGACTATGGTGACGAGTGCTTGTGACCTCAAGATACCTGGTATAAAGGCTGGTGTCTGACTCATCAGCCACACCCGTTCTGAGACAGGACACTCTGGAGGTGTTTGGTTCTCCCAGCTACTGGGTTAAGGGCACAGACATAGACTGGATTCTAGGAACAGGGTTGTGGGCAGGACAGTCAACAAACCATTTGTTTGAGATAAGGGCTCAGTATATAGCCCAGGTTAGACCTGAACTGATGATCCTCCTGCCTCAGACTCCCAAGTGCTGGCGTGTACTGACAAGCCTGGTATGGTCATTTAAATTCCCTGCTCAGATATGAATTACCCCCACAAAGGCAGATCTTCTATGCATAGACATATCCTTAATCTTGAGGCAGTAGAAAACTACACCACCAAGATAACCAGGAGACACAGCTGGATTGGAGTTTATCAACACACCCAAGTCATTATTTTTTCAAATTTCTGTCTTGAAAAAATACTTTTTCTTAAGAGTCCCTTTTACTCAAACGCATGTGCATGCCACCAGTAGAGGGCATCCGATCCCTCAGAGTTGGAGCTAGAGGTGGTTCTGGAGCACATGATGTGGGGGCTGGGGTCAGAACTGGGGTCCCCTGGAAGGGAAGAAAGTGAACTGCTGAGCTATCCCTTCAGGCCTCCAGTTCCGTGTCGAGGATCTGTCCACACTCACACAGCAGTCTTTAGTCCACGGAGCCGCAGGAGGGCTTTCAAAGCCTGAGAAGTTCTTTCTGGGCTGCAAGAATTTTCAGTGTTTGGTATGTCCGGCCATTGGGTTAAAGACTCATGTTTAGGTAGCAGCAGAGCCAACAAATTATGGTCTAGGCTGAGTGAGATGGCTCACACCTTTCACCCCAACACTTAGGAGGCAGAGGAAAGGGCATCTTGGTGAGTTCAAGGACAATGAGGTGTATGTAGATACTTTAAGGCCAGCCAGGGCTATTTAGTAAGACCCTGTCTCAAAAGAAAAAAAGTATATATAGTTTATACACACATAAATAATCCAATTTTTATTAAATTCTTTTTTTTTTTTTTTGAGACAAGGTCTCAGAATGTAGCCCAGGCTGTCCTTAAATTCAGGATCATCCTGCCTCAGTCTCCTGAATGCCAAGATTTCAGGTCTGCACTACCAAGCCTGGCTAAAGAAAGGCAATTCCCGACTTGAATTATATTAAACAGTTCTGATACGACGCTGAGCAGGTAGGACCCTTGAGCTGTTGACTCACCTCGTGCTGGGGCGCTTGACTGTTTTGCTACTCAGAAAGAGGTTAATTATTAGGGTTTTAGAAATGACTGGCTTTTCAGACAGGTGTGTCATTCACTCAGAGAGCCCTGCTCTATTGCTGTTTGATTTCCTCTTGCTGGGACACACGTGTGTGCGTGCTTTGATGCTAGAAGCAAGGGCTGACGATGCAGTGACCTATGGTGAGGACGTGGATTGGCTTGATGGGCACAAACGGGCCAACAATGCCACACATTGCTTGTTCTGGTCCTTGGACTCAAGAAATTCTAAGCAGAGAAACATTCTTCTGGCAGCAGACTGGGCCGGTTCTACTGCAGGTCACGTGTCTCAGCAGACATCTGCGTTGCTGGGAGTTCCTGGAGTGCCAGCTTAGAAAATACTCGGGGACAGAGTGGGGGCGGGTGGAACAAGAAGGGGGTTGATTCACAGTGATCAAACATTAGTCTCACAACCCATTGCCCAGCAAAGCCGAGCCGTGTCCCACAGGGGACAGGTTTTTAAGGAAGTGCTCGCTGGTTGCCTCCTAAGCAGTACAGATAAAGAAGGAAGACGCAGCCTCCCTGTTCCATCCCACAGATCAGAAGGTCACTTAATTCAGCGGTTCCTGTTGAGAGTGGCAAATTGCTGTCTGGCTGCTCGTATCTAGGCGGGATGCCTTCCGTCTCCATCCTGTTTTCAGGGGAGCAAGCGTGGGGAGTGGCAGAGACGGTGTCAGCCGGTGGTCCCCTTCCTCCTTTTCCCTGCTTCTCTATTCTGTGAGGAACCTGCCCACTTTAGAATCCAAAACCAGAAATGACCAGAGATGGCGCTCTCTGCTCTGTGGTCTGTGAAGACTGATGGACAGGGCAAGCCTAGTCAGTCACCTTGGGCCTGATTGCTCCAAGCATCTCTGGGCAGGTGCTGCACGAAGATAGTTAGTAATAAATATGTAGAGTCCTACCCTGAGCCGAGTTCTTTTCCCGACGGGAGCAAGTGGGTCTGTGGAATAAGTAGCGCACGGAGCCATCTTTTATCTGGTTCAGTAGGATGCAGAAGCAGATGGCTGGAAAAGGAACCACTTCTGGTTCCCTCTTGTCCCTCTTAGGGCCTTGCCTAGGTTTGATGGGAGGTGGTCCATGGCACAAGACGTCCGCTCTGGGGGATGTAGTGTTGCTGTTCACACCAGCTCTATACCGGCATGTGATGGGGTGGTGAACCTGGTCACATGAGCTCCTAAGAAAAACGTCCCCTGCACTGCTGGGCCCCTGGCACCTTTTATTTTTTCTTTTTTTTTCTTTTCTTTAAACCTCTGGTGTTCCCTGGCTTGTGAAGGTGGACAGAGGCCCCGAGATGGCACCTGGGGTCAGACAATAAAGGCACTAGCTCTGCTTCAGACTTCAGAGGAGAGCTGTCACTCTGGGGCGTGGTCTTGGCTGAGAGAAGAGCTGAGATGGAGCACCAAGGCGTAGCCTGAGCCGCACCATGGTGTGTGTGGGGGCTTCCTCTCAGAAGGCTCAGAGCTCAGGGTTGGGGGTGGGGGGAGGAACCCTTTTTGGGAAAGTTGGCTGTGTGAAACTTTCAAAATATAAAACCAAAATACCCAAACAGCCACCTAATAATAAGCAGGAGGGGGGTCTGCCGACTGCTAAAAGTGTAGTGTGGAGGGGGAGCCACGGCTCTGGCACTCTCTGCCAGGACACTCGTTCCGTCCCTCTGACTGTGGATTCAGTTGGCAGTCCGGTTTGCAATCCAGCAGAGTTCTGATGCTCACAAGTTTGTGCGAATGACAAAATGCAAAGACTGAGGAGTGGGGAGAAAAAGAACAAGTGTCAGATGTCCCCTCTCCACGCTCCCAGTGACAAGAACCCTCTCTACGCAGGACGTGACCGGTGAGGAAGTAGAGAGCAGGCGGGAGAGGTTGGCCATGTCGCTATTTTTCTGTGGACCTGAGCTTCCTCACGGCCAACACTGGCCTGCCTCTACGCCAGGGCCATAGGGAAGGACTCCTCATGCACTCAGACAGAGGAGGAGTCATGAGGGGACACGATGGGCTTCAGCTTTTGTCAACGGAGAGGTCTGCAAGGACCTGGTGTGCCAGGGTGGGGACTGTCGGAAACAGAAGGGGAACAGGGATTTACATTCTGACGTGTGGGGCGCTGGCTTGGCTCTAGTCTTTTTCAGGTGTTGCTTCTTGAACAGTAGGAGGCGATGCTTCTGTCCCTAAAAACAAAAACAACGAAAACATTTCACAGGGAACCTCGTGCAAACAACAACTCCTCATGCCAGGCTGTCACCATGGAAGAGACCTTCAAGCTCATGACAGCCATACTTGTTTATTCCAAAGAACCCTTTAAAAAGTGTGTGTGTGTGTGTGTGTGAGAGAGAGAGAGAGAGACAGAGAGAGAGAGACAGAGACAGAGAGAGAGACAGAGAGACAGAGAGAGAGAGACAGAGAGAGAGACAGAGAGACAGAGAGAGACAGAGAGAGAGAGACAGACAGAGACAGAGAGACAGAGAGAGACAGAGAGACAGAGAGAGATGTGTATGAGTGTCGTTGCACACATGCCAGGGTCGGAGTGCAGAAATCAGAGGACAAATTTTCCAGGAATTGGTTTTATTCTCCTGTGGGTTCCAGGAAGTGGGCTCAGCATGAAGCTTTGCAATCTTAGCTACTAAGCCATCTTCCTGGCTCCACACTGTGGTCCTTTGCCGGCTCTAGAGCCAGAACCTCAGGATCTGTGTGCCTTGCTTGCCAGCTCTCCACTGACCATTCTTCACCTCCTGCAGGCTTGCTAGCAAAGCTGTGCGTGCGTGCATGTGTGTCCCAGGGGAGCCACTTGACAGCTCACAACTGTGTGCAACAACAACAGATCAAGGTGAGTAAGCGGGAAAGGCCCTGGCTGCAGCGATGGAGACACAAGTTCACCGTCGATGTGGAAGCTTTTATAATATTCAGTTTGTTTGCTTTTGGCTCTGTAGCCTAGGGTGGCTTCAAATTCCCAATCTTCCTGCCTCTGTCTCCTAAGTGTTAGGTTTACAGATGTGCGCCACCCAGGTTAATGCTGAAGCTTTGAAGCTTTTTAATTCTCTACAATGTGCCCATCTTTAGGTTTAAGGGTTATTTAGGAATGAAAAGGGGAGAGGAAGAGCAGGAAGTAACAGGTCAGAGGGTCCAGTTCTATTAGGGGAAGGCCTGTCTCTTCTGCGGCACCAACAGGAAGTACCCAAAGTATGCCCACCTTCTTCCCAGCCCTCAGCAACACCAGCCAGCTCATAGTGTTTCTTCCGAAGCTCTCCTAGCTTTTGACGCTCCTTCTGCAGGTCATTTTCCAGCTCCAGAACCCTAACCTGTGGGAAAAGGGTGTGAGAGGGTCTGCCAATGGTTTAATTCAGTTTAAAAACCTTACCCTTCTGAATATCCTACCGGTGAGCTATGTTCCCACCACTGCATCTTTCAGTCTCTGTCTCTTTTGAAGTAGGAGGGATTGGATCCAAGGATTCATGTATGATAGGCAAGTACCCTACCACTGAGTCACACCCGAGCTCCTCACTGGGGATTCCAGGCAGGGGCTCTACCACTGAGCCACACCCCAGCCCCT